GCAGATTGAGATCCCCAGTGATAGTGGACCGTAAATAAAATAATTGAAACATTGAAATAAAAAATATGATACAAGCAGAGTGTGAAATTAGGTTAGACAAGGAACAGAGTAAGCTTTCTCCTATGCCTTGCTAAAACTAGGTTTCTTTTATGATTGCCTTTTTTTTTTCTGCTTAAGAGAAGGGCTTGTTATGCAGCTGAAAGCTGGTCTGGACAGTCCAGACTAGTGCTTTAGAGTTGCATTTACTGACATGCGCCTCTAACTCTTGCTAAAGAAACTTTTCCTATGACTGAGCATTATGGTTTACTTGAAGTTGCATAAAAATTGTAATTGACTTGCAAAGAAAGGACACAACTGATTGATCAAACATTCAGAATACGTGTCTGTAAGGAAAGAGACCTGGAGAAGAAAGGATCAGTGGCTGCTAACAGATAGAAGGCATGTAGTTGCTCAAAGCAAAAGCTAGTCCCTTCACTTAGTTTGTTGTTTTTCAAAGAAAGATCAGGCACCATTATTTATGATAAAACAGCAAGAACGACAGATTACAATTTCTAATTCTGCAGATTTTTCTTGGATTTTGAGTCATTGAACCTAAATCCTTGTGACTACAGAAATGTTTGCTTAAGAAAATTTATTTTGAATGAAGAAACCACACATTTCTTGCTTGTTCTTTTGATCTATAGAGTGGGCTCATTTCTAACTTAATGATTATATTACAAATGGTTTTCACCACACCCTATGGATCTCTGACTATTGAAGATTTAAACTCAAGAGGCTTCATGGTCAAATGTTTTTCTAAAGGAAGGGATGAAGAAGATGTGAAACTGATCAGTGGTGGAAGTGGGGAGGTTCTGGAAGGAGGTCTGGGAGTTAAAACAGTCAACGGAATATATTGTATGAAAAAACATTTTCAGTAAAAAATAAGACTTACTTAATATAATGAAATGACTTTATTAAAGATTGTATAAAAGAAAAGAAAAAGAAAAAAATTAAAACAAGTTACATAATTTGGCAGGTCCCCATGCTGTCTTTAGATTTCTTTTCTTATCTGCAGAGAGGAAAGAATAATAGCAATTACTGGAGACATTTGTTGAAAGAACGGGGTGAGATAATGTTTGGAAAGTGATTAGCAAAGTAAACACAAGCAGGACAAGCCTGGGATTGCTGGCTATTGTTGTTTTTGCTTCTATTGTTATTAACATCTTAAGGAGAATTTTTTAGTATAATAGGCCTTCTAAAGAGAGGTTAGATATTCAATGTGCTCAACCATAATAGAAAAGGAGGGGATCCATGTAAGGTAGAAAATTCTATTGTCATAATTTTGTTTGTCTTTATTTACTAAAATATTTAAAAGTAAGAAAAGCAGAGTGGCAGAATTATGTGCATATATTTGGTGATACAAAACAAAGAATGGAGCATATTCATAAACAAATTCATTACACGTTTGCTTGCTCATACTTCACCCAAATGCACAAAATAGTTATGGTTTTCTCTGTAAAAGATACCTGGGAATAGCTAACGATCATTTTTCACTCTAAAATCTTTCATATGATCATAGTATTTCATTGTTTATTATTTAAACTACTAATATAAAAATTATTGTAAAGGTACTACCACCAAAACTGTAGACAGATATATTGTCTCTAGTACTAATGAAATTAATGTGAATTAAGAAACCAAGACACAAAAGCAGATATGTTTTTTTTAAAGATTTGGTGACAACTGTACACCTCTTTGTTTGTTAATTCTTTTTTTGTTGTTTGTTAATTCTTTTTCCTTCCTTTCCTAAGAAATGTGATAACATTCTGACTTATAATAAGCTTACAGCCAGAATTAAAGTGATTCTCCATTTTTTATAGTATTCAAGTATCAGTCACATAAGATGAGGTTGCTTAGATTGTTTTTTGATTGATGGGTTAAGTGATTTGTGCATAAACATTTAACTGACAAAATATCACCAAATTGTGAACAGTAGAGCCTAGATATATTAATGTAAGAAGTCTATATGCTATGGTACAAAAAGGACTTGAGAGAAAACTGAGGAATCACGGCTTCAAGCTTCACTATCCTTGATTTCTGAGGCTGGAAGCAGATCATGTTTTGTGGAGGAGATTATTTGACATGTTTCTGTCACACTATTCCTAGAGAATTTTTCCTTCAGTTCATGCAGTCTTTATTATTAGACTTTGATCAAATCAATTAGTAGATGGTGTATGCTTACACTCACTTAACAATTCTCGAATCAATTGAATTCTGATAATTGCTGATGTAAGTAAAATTACTTAATATTGTTTAATCGTGTGCCTAACTTAAGATATTCTGAGAGCCAGTGTTTGAGAGACATTGTTTACAATAAACTATATTACACATCAAGATACATTGTCCAGGTTTGGGCTTATTTGCTTTCCAATACCTTCTACAACTGTATTTCTACATTATAAACAAAAACACACAGAAAATCATAACATCTAAAAATAAAAGAAACCTACTATTCATTTCCATAGGAAATATGACTTTCAATTTAGATGATTCAAATCACAATCATAAGTTCATTCAGATATAGGCAATCACTAATTAGGAGGAAAAGACAATACTAACATTATTATTGTTGTAATAATTTTCTGTTGAGTTTGACAACTTGCCCTCCATAAGTGTAGCAAGCTTAAGGGTTTTCAAGAATACACCTCACCACAGTGGATATAGAAAAAAAAATGTATTGCTAAGCCATCTTCATCAACCACACGTTATTTCAAAGTTTAGCTATCTATAGTATAAAATATTTTTGTTATTCTAAGTTTCTGCTTAAAACATGAAAAAATATGCCTCTCTTCTTTGCTGGAGATTCACTGGAGCAGTGTAGCTGAGCTAAACACCATGATATCTAGAAAGTCTCAGAACAACAGTGTTGATTTTCATTTATTTTAAATTCACATGAAATATTTGCATAACTCACAGAATTCAGACAGGCTCCACCGTGCCTCGGTCTCTGCATGGCTATTGTCTCTGAATCTTGTAGAAACAGCACTCATGAAATGACTCTCAGATGATAGGCTTTTGGAGTAATGGCTTTGTAGTTTTAGAATATATTTTGGGATTAAGAATTCCAAATTGTCCTGGTTTCTGATCCTTCTTTTGTGTCTGACATTTTGTTCACAGGTAGGAAAAAGCTAATTTAAAAGATATTAGACATTAAAATATATGTCAACATGTTTATAAAGAAACAACTAAGAAACAGGACAAAAAAGATATCAGAAAGAAAGATAATAAAATTAAGACAAGGTGTAAACTTGTACCTTTTTTAAATTTAAAAATGCAACAAACACCTGCAGGGAAGTAAACCACAATCCTGGAGTATTTTAACTGACCTCACTCATCAAGTATTGAAGCAGCACCGATTTGAGTTTTAAAAAAAATACTTTCAGTTTATGATATGAACGGCATGTGTCCCAAGGCCTTATGAGTCTGTCCAAATCACAAAACAAGTCTAACTACTACTCGGGCAAATGGTGCATGCGTTTTGACGAAAGAGATCAGTTCATTTCTCAAGAGTGCCCAGCCAGTAGCCAGCTATTGTGCTCTAAGTAAATACGCTAAGAGGTTACATGTAAAACATAAACAGGTGAGAGAATTCAGATTTAGTTCTTAGATAAATGAAGCCACTCTAAAGTACAGAGTATTGGGGCAGTGGGTTCTTTTTATCCATGACTGCCCATGATGCATGTCTCATTTCCTGTGTGTTGACTCCTGAGATCGTGTTACACAAAATGAATGTGGGGTGGGAGGGAGCTGAGGTCAGCTTAGGTGTCCTAAGGCTTGTGTCTGCTCCAGGCTGGAAAACACTGCCCCACAGTTCCGGATAAATACCCACTGCCCACACTTCTCTCAGTCTGTCCTTTCCCCTTCAGCTGGTCCCTGGGCAGGTCTCCACCTTGCTGTTATAGTTTACATTTACTGAGGTGTCAGAGATTCCCTGAGACTCCTCCCTTCCATGCTGACTTGTAAACCTGAACTTAAGAGGAAATTTTGGAGCTTGTCAGTATTAAAAAAAAAAAAAAAAAAAAAAAAAAAAACCAGAAATGAGGCATGTAGCAAATTCCTCACGGCACAGATGGAAATAATGTTCCATAGTTTAGAATTACAGAGTATCCTTTTAGAATGACGCTTCCAGAGCTTCTGCCGCCACGTCTAGATTCACTATCAAAACAAAATTGGTTTTAGGTAATACCGTACCTTTCCCACTTTATATCAGCTTTATACCAACTGCTGCCATATACAAACTGCATCAAGCTATTCCCTGTACTATGGAAAATTATTAGTGCAGTTTACAGACGTAGCCAGCTGTCTCTGCTCAACCCCTCACAATGGCCTTGCTTGATACAGTGGCACTTTTTGTTAATGCAGAAAATAGGCTTTTCGTAACTGGTGAAGTAAATATGAATTTGATATTATTTACCATGTTCCACAGAGATCTGTCATAATTTGTCACCATAGTTATGTTAATAAGAAACATATAAGTGAGGGAAGCTATGGAAGGTAGAAGGCTGCCTAGTGACCGAATCAGAAATGAGGGCAGGAGCAGCATCAGCTTCCTCTTCCCCCCTCTTAGAATTCTTTTTTTTTTTTTTTTTTTTTTTTGGTTTTTCGAGACAGGGTTTCTCTGTGGTTTTGGAGCCTGTCCTGGAACTACCTCTTGTAGACCAGGCTGGCCTCGAACTCACAGAGATCCGCCTGCCTCTGCCTCCCTAGTGCTGGGATTAAAGGCGTGAGCCACCACCGCCCGGTAGCTCGCAGTGATCGTATAGTGGTTAGAATTCATTCTTTATCTATCGGTTGTCTATATATTTATCTTCAATTTTTCTGTGTACAATGCTTTCTTGGTCATAAAGGAAAATGACAGCTATTCATACTTAAATTTAGTTGTTTTTTGTTGTTGTTGTTGTTGTTGTTACTCAAAACAGTAACCAACCTGTTTTTGGCTAATTCTGATTTTAAATTCACAGGGAAAGGATTCTCATTGCCTCAGCTTGACTCAGGTGTGTCAGGTAAGACCAATGAACTGGGAACGAAGCAGGGACAGTTGGGTAGCTTTCTACAAAAGTCCAAGAAAAGCTCAAGAGAATCTGGAGAAAGACTGGCAAGGCAAGAAGCTTAACTGACAGTTGTGAGGCAGCCACTGAGTATGACTGCTTTGCTGGATAAAATGAGTAAGACTAAGGTCTGCTTTGAAAATGTTCAGGAGAGCAGCAGCTCAAGAAGCTTCTGGAGTATACTACAACAGAGAACAGGGCGCAGCAGGGTGTAGATTAAGTAGCTAGGTGATTTTGTACTTATGCAATATTTAAAAAATAAAAAAAAATGTATGGGGTAAAAATGAGACAAGTGGCTAGCAAAAGGGGGAGGAAGAGAATTTAAACGAGTGAAGCCCAGTTAAGTCTGAAAGAGAGACAAAAACATGCTGTACACTTGTTGTGGGCTTAATCCGCAGAGACAGAATCAAAGACAAAGAGCACAGAGTCCAAATAGCAATGTTAAGTTAAATTCTCCTGTGGAAAACATGACGATGCTTTGGATAATCACCTGTAGTATCAAGTCGGACTAAAATTAAGTGAGGCCACAATTTCTTCCTTCTCCAAGCCTCACCGGGTGTCCGTTTCTTTTCCTTTGTTGTTTGCCCACATGTAACTATTCTAACTGCAAGTAAAAAAATCATTTAGATTGACCGTTTTAGAACAGCTGAAAAAAATGGTGCAAATGAAATTTATTTGCTAGTACACCAAAATACCAACAATGATTTGGAATACCTAATGAGACTGACAGTACTAAGAATAGATTTTGAGCAACTACTGCAATTCAGCCAACGTACTGGATAGGTTGCTTCTGTCCAGAGATGAGCGAAATATATGTGTGTGTGTGTGTGTGTGTGTGTGTGTGTGTGTGTGTGTGTGTGTGTGTTAGTCTGATGGTTCTCAAACCTGGGCATACATTAGAATGACCACAGAGCTTGTTCAAATGGACTTTTTGGCTCAATCCCTAGAGTTCACATTCACTATTTCTGGCTTCGAGGTGGGGAATTTGCATTTCTAGTCTTGTCCATGTGCTGCAGATAAGACTTGTCCTGGGCACATAGGGAGAGGAGCTGTGTGAGGAGGCACAGACTCTAGTTAGTTGACTCTTTACTAGCCAAAGCACACTATTAAGCACTCCTGTTTAGTTATTGCCACTAAGACAGGACATTTTCTATAAATCCAGTCTCATATCTGTGTATTGTTTAGCTGTATAACTTAACAAAATTATCGATAACAAGGTCAAATAAATACAGTGTTCAAAGACGAAGGCTCCCAGTTTACTTCAGTAAAAATATTTCATCAGCTTTACGGCCTCATTTCTAATTTAGCTCTTGCTTTAATTTAACATAAAACTTTTCCTTCTGATCTTTGGTAAACATCCGGTCTTCGATAATCTTTTAAATGGGATGGCCAGTGGTTCATTTATTGCAATAATTAAGATGGATAACAGCGTGCCTGCTGAAATGACTGCACTTGTGTTTAGTGTGTAAATTGTGTCCCTGCTATGAAAGCCTCTTTTACTGCTTTTGCCCTTGTCCAGTCTTTTGCATTCTAAGCCATTAGCCACAGCATGTTTTGGAAAGGTATTTATAAAGAAGTTGGTCACATTTACCAATTTTTGATAATTATTAATTCATGTCTTCAGTTTCTTTTAGTACTGAGGATTTCCTCTCACTTTCATTCTGCCAAAGGGACAGGGTGGAAAAAAGAAAAGCCTTCTAGGATTTGTAAGCCTATTTTTTATTTTAAAATCTTCCTACTTTTGGCTTGTTCCAGTTTTCATCTCTTCAGTTTATGACTCTTATGTGACTATGAGCAGTTTACTCTCAGTACGTACAAGTGCAATGCCAAATGTGAATTTCTTATACGATTCTGAAAGCCCATTAAAATGGAGATAGCCAAAGACTTGTAAAAATACTGCTTGCATGTGGCCACCTTTTTTATTTCAAAACTATATGTACTTCAAGCTCTAAAAAAGTTATTCAGATAAATGGACAGTAGTCAGGTCATGTTTGTACCCATCACTGCATCCAGAATATTTCAGTTAATATGTGTTTGCTTTTCCAATTTAGCTTCAACGGAAACTGAACTCCTCTTGCCCACCTGTTTTAGGGTAGTTCATTGTTGCTATGTTTACAATATTTTTCCTTTTAAATATTGTAGATCTGAAAAAAAAATTATACTCCAGAAGTTGTCAGAGTGGTATTTGTTAGTATCTATGTCAATAGCCTGCTGAAATAATTTAATAACTGAGTAAGGACTGTCCACAGGCAAAACAAGCTCACTGTCGCATAGGCACGCTCTTATTAACCTGCTTATGCTCATGGTCTGCGATCCTTCAAATGTCTTATTGGGTTTCACTGGGAAAACAAGCAATAAACCTAATGGAATAAGCCACAGACTATACTGAGTTAATGTCTGTAGTAAATATTTTTATCATCTTTATGATTTAATGTTATATCATGATAGATTTATGATTTTAGACTAATTTCTTAGGTTGTCTTTTTCTAGTGACCCAAACAGTAAGGAAAAAAAAAAAACCTGTCGTCCCTGGAAAATATAAACGAGCTGCTTATACAAAGACAACAAGACTTACTCTGTTTGCCAAACTTTGGCTCTTTTTCAGCATTCTCCGTGGGCCTGAAAACACAGAGCTCTCTCACTTACTAATGGCTAAAATTAACTTGCTTATCAGACAGCCTGCGTTGCTTTGTATGAAAACTGCTCTGAAGAGGAGCTGGATTTGTCCTTGATCTCCTCACCCTCCTTCTCATTACCACTCCTTCTACTCTGTCAATGACTTTGTTACTATCTTTATTTTTATATATCTACTAGTATTGCAGTGCCAGGAATAGAAGGCAAAGCCTGGCCCATTGTAAAATTACTCTGCCAATTTAAAAGAACCCCATCCCGTTTTGTCTTTCTTTCTTATGATGATTTTGCATGTTACTCCGTTTTAAATTGTAGCAACTGACAGGGGTAGCTACAATATTCTGTATAAGGTAATAAAAAACTTAAATAATCAAAAGAAGAATGGGAAAGCAAATATTCCTATTTCGAATCCTCAATACTGTGATGGAGTATATTTCTGTTACCACTTTTGGAGATATTTGAGAGCTTTTATTCTGCCACTATAAAACAGATTTTTTTTATATTTCCTTTCTAATCAGGTTTTCAAAACTGCCTTTGCAGTTCAAGTATCTAAATATTCTAGATGTCGTTTCATTTCTGAATAGCAAATTAAAGTATATAATATTTATGTTTATACATATTGCTTATACATAAAAAGTATATTTCACATATATACACATATATAAAACAATGCATATACAGATACTTTAGTGAATTTTAAATTTTACTTGGCATCTTAAAGTAGTCTAAAATAATAGACTGCTGACACAATGTATCATTTAACCGTATATAATGAGTTTATTAATATCCCTTTGTAACATACATTTGAAACTATGATACAGAAGTAAGAAGAATGTTGAAAAGATCTTAGCCATGTTATGGGGTTGAGCAAAAGGTTCTTGGAATATATACAGAGGGAAAGAATCAGTCCTAGACAGATCTGAAGAACTCTTCAAGTGAAGGTTTCTATGTAATGGGGTTGAAGTTTCCATGGTCAAGTGAAGAAACTAATTTACTTATTTTTGATACCTTAGGTAAACCAGTGGCCAGTTTTTGCTCTCACTACCTAGTCATGTGTATTTGACCAAATATCACTAGTCAATTAAGTAATAATCCCTAGGTCTAGGACTCTGCCTTTTGTACTTTTTGGAAACTTTTCCACAGACTCTTAGTGTAGCTATGATTAAGAACCACTGCTTAAATGAGACGAATAGAGAAACAGTAATGACTGTGTGATCCTGTGATGGGAGTAATGACAAAAGTCATCGAAACCAAGTGACTGTAATAAGACGGGAATTTTACGAGATTTCCCCATTATACCAAAGGCAAGTAAGAAACTTCAGTTAGATTATCCAATGACTACATGTATACTCAGTGGAAATTTTTGTTGTTATTGAGAAATATGTCAAAAATTGTCACACTGATAAGACTTCCCTGTCCTAAGCATGAATAACTATTATGTCATACATTGCCAGTGGGAACTGTATGAATGCTATGAATTCAGGCCAGATCAATACATTTAATAATTTATTTTTAGAGAAGTTTTAGGGTTCACAGCAAGTTGTAATGGATGGCACAAGGGATCATCATGTACCACTTTCCCTACCTTACTGCTGAGACCCTTCACTGCCAGTTTCCCTGCCCAGAATGCTATGAATGTTATAGCTCAGCGTATGTACCTCCCAGAATTGATAGTTTAGATTGGAAGATTTTCTGGGTGTAGGAAGTGCATAACCACATTGATATTTATTTTTAAAATAGAGGTAACCACATGATTTTGAATTTGATATTGGTAACCTCAAAATACTGGATTTATTGTATCTTAATAGTCACCTTTGGATGTTATGGGGGCACCTTAACAGTGAGTGGCTGTACCACTGGCAGGTTCGGTCTCTAAGATTGTCAATCTGGGTCACCCAGAATTAACACCATGGGAAACACTGGTTGGGCAGGCTGGGAGAAAAATCACAAAGATGTGCAGTCTAGTTGAGAAAGGAGGAAGAGTCTGATGTGACAGTCCCTGTAAAACTCCTCAGAGGATTAGTTGGTTCAAAATTAATGGGAACATAAGAATTTTTGTCCATTTAGTGTGTCAGTGTTATATGTGTGCAGAGGAGGGCAATGCATGTGTGTTTGCCTACCCAAAGTATTGATATCAGGCTCTGCTAACTTGGAATGCTATTAATAGTGGTGTTGATTCACTAATAAATATAAATGTTGACCCCTGTATTCTGTTTGCCTGTCAGAGGCAGGTAGGCTTCAACTGGCCTAACAACAGCTTAGCAACACCTAGACTGAGAAATCTAATTACATTTTGACCACTGTTAAGCTGCCTTATCTCCATG